GAGGATGAGGCCGAAGATGGTGAATCCCCTGAATTGATGGATGTTTTAGTGGACACATTGTTGTCACTGTTGCCACAGTCATCTGTTCCTCTGAGATCCGCTGTTGAGCAGGTAACAGCCATGATTACAAACTTTTTTAGTAGACATGATTTACAAGTACTTATGTTTTGGGGGCAAGGTTATATGCAAGGATTTTTATAGACCACACCAACAGTATTAATTTTCCTAATTTAGGTTAAGTTGATGTTTGATCTGCATAGAGTTGATTGCAGAGTAAGATAAAATATTTTTCCACCTGAGTATTCTCAAAATGTGTTTATTACTGATGCTAAGCCATCTAGGTTACCATAACGACAGTATTTAATCTATCTGTCCCTTTGTTTTGCGTTAGGATGTTTGGGGTTGGGTCATCATTGTCCTTATGAGTAAGCTTCTCTGGTCTGTACCTGACTACCTGGCAATTAGTTTTGTGAAAGAACGAATGCTAAATGACTTAAATGCTTGCCTTGGGCTTCATGTATTTCGATCATTTAATCTGCTAATTTGTTGGATGTCATGGTTAAGAGAGGTTATCGCTTGTTTCAATATGTATATTATTCCTTAAAATTTTGGTGGCTGGTCTTTTTGGCAATGTTTTGAAAGTCAGTGCTTGAATGTATGCTTCTTATGTTGTTTATTTATGCCCAAGGAAAAATGTGATCATTTTTGCAAGATGCCACCCCCTCCTCTCCCCCTATGTTTTTTTCTGGGATCTAAATGGTTTGACACAATCTTCCTGTGTCTGTTAACTCTTACCATGCATGCCTGTATAGTTTAATTGGATTTATAAGCTGTATTCTCCATTAGTCATGATTCTACCTTTATTTTCTTTGCAGGTTTTTAGATACTTTTGTAATGATGTTACTGATGATGGGCTGCTCCGTATGCTGCGGGTGATAAAGAAAGATCTAAAGCCCGCTAGGCGTAAGGATGCAGATGGTGTAGAGGGTAGTGATGGCGACGACGATGATCTTCTTAATATTGAAGAAGCAGAAGAATCTGATGAAGCTGATACTGTCGAAACTGGCTTAGTGACTGATGATACTGAGGCTACAGTTAGAGCTGATGCATCAGATGAAGAACTTTCTGGGGCTTCTGATGAAGATGATTATTCAGATGATAACATGGATGATGAGGCCATGTTCCGGATGGATTCCTATCTTGCAAAGATATTTCAGGAACGGAAAAACCAAGCTGGGGGTGACACTGCTCATGCCCAGCTTGTACTATTTAAACTCCGTGTTCTCTCCCTGCTAGAAATCTATCTTCATGAGAATCCAGGTAACTATTGGGATAATAACCTAGTCCTAGCTTGAAGTCATGACAAATCCTGCCCCCTGTCTCAACTCTCTTTCTAAAACTCAGATTGCTGTCACCTAAACTATATAGGGAATCAATCTAGAATATAAGATGACCGAGCCTGATTTGTTTTATGTCTTCCTTGGATTGATAGATTAGATTTATTCTAAATTTCTAATACAGGACTTTGCATGGGTATTCACATGACTAATTAGCTTACCATCTATTTTCGCATTTGTCGTGCCTTGTTCTGAAATCGATGTCCGATTATCTCCAATTGAGACATGCCAAAGGGGCACTAGTATATACTTTATTTATTTTTTGTTCTGTTGTTTTTCATGATTTAAAATGTGGGTACATGACTTTGTTTCAAAAAAAAAAAAAAAAAAAAAAAAAAGTGGGTACATAACTACATATGGTGTGGTGGGGCTAAGATACTGAGAAAGTGAGAAAGGTGATATGGGCACAATTTATTGGGATAGAAGGAAAGAAACAGAGTCTATTAGGTGTTTTATATATTGGGAAGTCCCTTATAAAACTGATTTGAAGGCTTTTTATGCTTGATCACTTTCTGGAAACCATGTTTTGTGCAGCCCTTTAAAATTAACACCATGCGTTTTTTGTTGCCTTGTAAAGTTATTTTTCAAATGAACTGAAATTAGTGGTCATTTCTAAAAGAACAAATGGCCATCTGTAACATGTCAGTGATATCACCATATACTAGAATTTAATCATGGCTCGGTTTTCTGGCAACCATCAAATCTGCTTATGTTCGTTCGGTGTCATATGCTCATTTTGGAGCTGTTTAAACTTTCATCTGCTGTTTTACTCGTGTTTGCGTTTCTGCTTATTTTGAATAACAGGTTCATCAAGGGTCTTGACTGTATATTCAAATTTGGTGCAAGCATTTGTCAATCCCAGTACAACTGAAGGCAGTGAACAGCTTGCTCAACGTATATGGGGAATTGTGCAGAAAAAAATCTTTAAGGCAAAGGATTATCCCAAGTCAGAAGATGTGCAACTCACTACCTTGGAAGGTCTCCTAGAAAAGAGCCTTCGGTTGGCTTCCAGACCGTTCCGGAAAAAGAAAACTGCTGGTAATGTACCACAGAAGAAGTCATTTTCCTGGAACAGATACAAGATGATCAATTCCCTTGCTCAGCAATCGACATATTGGCTCCTAAAGGTTATCGAGGGAAGAAAAATATCTGAGTCCGATCTCAATTCTGTCTTTGAAAGTTTCAAGGAAGCCTTAACTAAATATTTCGAAACCAAGAAGTCCCAACTGAAGCCTGAGTTCTTGAAAGAAGTATTCAAGAGAAGGCCCTGGGTTGCGCGACAACTTTTTGGATTTCTTGTGGAAAAATGTGCAGATGCAAAGTCTGATTACCGACGAGTTGAAGCACTTGAACTAGTGTTGGAAACCTTGAAGTCAGTCCTTGCAGAAAGTGAAGGGGAGGCGTCAAAGAAGTTTTTGAAAGCTCATACGTCTAAACTGAGTCACTTGATAAAACAGTTGGCAAGGCATATGCCGGAGAAGCAGTCAAGACGGGCTGATGTAAGGAAGTTTTGCAGTAAAGTCTTCCAGATTGTATCCACCCACAGCATGACTAAATCATTTCTTAAGACATTAGAGCCTGATGATCATGCTGCTTGTGAGACTCACTTTGGTGAGTCATTTCTTGCTTTGAAGAAATGAGATGCAATTTTAAGTCAGGATTTGTAAAATTCTGGGTTTCGCATAATCGTGATACAGAATGAACATGGTACGATTTCACCGTGATCGGAGTTGCACTCTGGGAGCTTGGTATGTTGTCCCCGTGATCAGAAGTTTTGGTTCTGTGTGCTTCTTGCTTTCTACCAGCAGTCTATAAGCATTCCAAACTTCCAGTTTTGTTACTTGTTAGCATAGAGAATTTTATGGTTTACATTCAGAAATCTTTCTCTTTTATAAAAACAAAGATTATGTGATTTTTTCCCCCTAATATAGATGGTTCGTCCTATGGGAAAGTCTAATTATTTTGTACACCCAGAAGCACCCAATATTATTCATCTGATCCATGGCATACTTGATTGATTAGTATTATTCGCATAGCTTGAACATCGTGTACGGTTAACTTGTCGGAGGAAGTAATTTACAATTTTGATTTGGACATGTTATTTAGAATTTTTACTACTGTATAATTTAATTTAGTTTAAATTCTAACGTGTTGGCCATTAGGTATTATCATATTTTATGTCATTCAATCAAGTTAAATATTTTTAAGGGTTTTATCATGGAAATAATGCAGTAACTTGTGGTTTCACTTACTCTGGTGCAAGAACTAGTTAAAAAAATCAAATAAATTAATGGATAATCAATAATAACTTTATACTAAAAGCGAAATCAGAAATGACATGTCATTTACTGGTTATAAATTTTCCCTCCATGATTTTGGTTTTTTTATTTTTTATTTTTTTTCCGCAAAAAAACTATTTATAATTCATAATATATTCTTTCTGAATTGACAACCATATTCTTTCTGAATTGACAACCATATTCTTTCCATATACAATAAATTGGAATACTTTTACATATCTTTTATGTATTTTATAAAAAAAAATGAACAAATTGATGATCAAAATAATACTATTACCTAAGATTCATATAATATTATCAATTTTTTCTTTGTTTCACTTTACTACTTTTGCAATAAACTTGATTTCAATTTAAAAGAGAAAAGGTATTAATCAAAATTTTCATTTTTTTAATATAAAACACTATAGACCTTAAACTTAATTTTTTTTTAAAAATTATATACCTTTATTTACGTGAAGTATTATTAAAATAGCATTACAATATAAAAGTTAGTAACAACCGGGCGTTGCATAGGACTTAAGCTAGTTATCACTATTTACAGATATTTAATCATTTATTTTTCTTGGTGCAAATAGATATTTAATTATTTTTTTTTATTTTTTGAAAGATAGATAGTGCAATATTTAATTATTAAAACAACTCTTTTCCAAATTTTTTTTTTGTTTACATGACCCCTTAATGATATTTAATTATCAAAACAACTCTTTTCCAAAATTTTAAACATGCCATCTCCACCTAACCTCAAAAAAAAAAAATGAAAAAAAATAAAGCATTAAAATAACAACAAAATTTATTATGGATAAAGTTTCCTCACTCCGTATTTTTCTTATCCAACAAAAAAATAAATAATTACTCATTTTTTAAATTAAAAAAAAAAAAAAAACGGAAGTATGTTCCACGCGTCCTTGACTAATACGATACGCGCGTGGGCCAGTACCAAGACTTCCCTGATGACCTGCTACAACAGTTGGACTTATCCACGTCATCGCTGGGTCCCACTTTACTTTCTCTCTCCTCTCTCCAAACCCTAAATGTAGGGCACATTCAATTCAAATTCACCCGAAAACCAAAAACCCAAACCACATCATCCAACGACTCACATCTCTCCACGTGTACTCTCCCTCAGATCTAAGCCGTTTGTGACAGGTGTTACGGTCACAATTACGGGTAGGAGAGAGAAACACGGGTTAACTGTTGGATCATGAATTGAGTAAGATCAACGGTTGAGATTCTGCCCGGGAATTAAACGGGCAGATCTTGGTTGCCTTTAAGAAGCGATGCCTCCTCTCACTGATTCCTCGCTCTCATCAAGGGTAAACCCTAAATCATTATCTTCAATTCATCAATTTTGATCGATCTTTCTCTCTCTAGCAATTTCTTTTTGATTTGATTTTCTCTCTCTAGAAAAATTTACAGAAATACCACCAAAAATTTACAGAAATCGTCGGGAATTTCCGGTTGCCGGGAAATTTTGACGGTGATTTTCTCTCTCCTATTTGCCGGTGAGCGGTGATCGGAATTGGGCAAATGGTATGGTGGGTGGTAAGCTAGAGAGAGAAGAAGACGCATTGGTGACCGGTAACCGGGAAACCTCGAGATTTTCGCCGGAGATTTGTCGGTTTTCATGGCGTCGACGATGTTAGTTAGCCGAAATGAGACGAGTAATTTTCTCTCACCAAATCATCATCATCAACCACCAAGAACAGCGACTAATTTCATGGGAAAAATCCCTTTTCTTAACCCTAACCCTAACCCTAATTTTACCCCCAACAACAACAATCATAACCAAAATCACAACCACCACTTTTCCAGGAAGCAATTAAACCATCAAAATGGGGATGAATTTCTGAATCCTCCTGTAAATGACAATACTGCGTCGTTTAATCATCATCGGAAGTCGTCAAATGATACGTCAATCGCCCCTTACGTCAGCTACGACATTACGGGGCTTTCGAAGTCGGAGATTCAATTGTTAAAGAGTCGATTGATGTCGGAGCTCGACAAAGTTCGGTCTCTATCGAATCGAATCGAAACCGGCGAGCTTCGAAACGGTTCGAATAACATCAGCAATCCCTCCAAGAAGCGCCCATTTCCGGTCCAGCAGGCGGTGAAGGAGACGAAACGAGGGAAACAGCAGCCGCAATCGGCGTATGTGGCAAGCTCCCAAGTGATGAAGATGTGTGCGCAAGTTCTTTCTAAGCTGATGAAGCAGAAAGCTGGGTATATTTTCAATGAACCAGTTGATGTTGTTGGTATGGGATTACATGATTATCATACCATTGTTAAGCGGCCGATGGATCTTGGAACAATTAAGAAGAATTTGGGGGTAAAGGGGTTTTATCGAACGCCTGATGAATTTGCTGCTGATGTTCGATTGACATTCAACAATGCACTTACTTATAACCCTAAAGGGCATGAAGTTAATATATTGGCGGAGCGATTTCTTGAGAAATTCGAGCAGTATTATCGCCCTGTTTATCACAAGTTTCAGTCTGAGAAGCAGCAGTTTATGAGGCAGCAGAAGGTAGAAGCTCGGCCCAAGGAGGATGCTGTGGTGGTTGTTGATGAAGTACAGGGGAATTCTTGGAGTAAAAACCCGTCTCCAGAACCGCCAAGGATCGAGAGTAGTCCTCCGAAAAAGCCCGAGCCAAGGCTGGAACCCCGAGTTGTGGAACTCCCACCACGGGTAGAACCTCCTCCTCCTCCTCCTCCAAGGCCTGAACCGAGGGCGGAACCTCCACCACGGACGGAACCACCTCCACCAAGGCCTGAGCCTGTTTCGGCTCCTGTTAATCATGCCCCTGCTCCGGAACCATCTCATATGTCATTGCAAGAGGTGGTGCGAGCTGGGTCAGTGGGGACAGGGAGAGGATCAAGTGGGAAGTTGCCGAAGCCGAAAGCTAAGGATCCCAATAAGAGGGAAATGAATATGGAAGAGAAGCATAAATTGGGAGCTGGGTTGCAGAGTTTGCCAGAGGAGAAGATGTCTCAAGTGATTCAGATAATTAGGAAGAGAAATGGGCATTTGACACAAGATGGGGATGAAATTGAGCTTGACATTGAGGCTGTTGATACTGAAACTCTGTGGGAACTCGATCGATTTGTTACTAATTACAAGAAGATGGTGAGCAAGATGAGGAGGCAAGCTTTGATGGATATGCAGAACAACAATGTGGGTCATCATCATGGTGATCACGAGCAGGTAATTTCCGATTTCAAAGCTCGAATTTTTGGTATTGTGTTGGCGTTGCATTGTATTGAATTGAATCAATATGCCTGATTGGGTTAGTTGTGTTGCTGAATTGGGTTGTGAAATTGATTGTAATTTCAGGTTGGTGTGAGTGAGAGGGTGATGGAAACGGCGAAGGATGAAGATGTGGATATTGGGGGGGATGATGATGAAATTCAGGTTCACAATTTCCCACCAGTGGAAATTGACAAAGACAACGATAAAAACCATGGCGGTGGTGGTGGTGATACTAGTAGTAGTAGTTCAAGCAGTTCAGGCAGTGATTCCTCTTCTTCAAGTGGTATATACACTGATTTATAAACATTACCTTATGTTTTGGTGTATGTTGTTGTTACTACATTGTGGTGGAAATTGGATTGTGTCTTATTATGTGATGTGAATTTGCAGATTCTGATTCAGGGAGTTCCTCGGGCAGTGATTCGGATGTTGATGATGCCCAATCACGCGACAACGAATCTAAGAACATTCCCCATTGATGATCGATCAGTTTAGGGGCTCAAGTTTGCTGGGATGAATGGCATTTTTGAGGGGTTCTTCCTGTGCTCTCTTGTGTAGTGTGTTCGAGTTCCTTCTTTGGTCAACCGATCATCATTCGATTTCGAGGATATAATCCTTTTGTTGTCTGTGTTACCGGAAAAGAACATCAATGGGATTGCAATGTAGCCAGTTTGCTTAGTGTAGACTCAGTGTTAAAGGACTCAATGTACAGAGGAAGAGAACTTTTTGAGTAGGGTTTTTGTTGGTGGGTCTCTAATGGGTTGGTTGCAATTGCCAAAGGAAGGAAGAAGATCAAGAAAAGATTTTGATGGGTTTTGCTTTTTGCACAAGGGAAGAATCTGATGAGAAGAAGAGGAAGAAAGAAAAGCTTGACAATTGTGTTGTAAAGATGGGTTAGTAGTGAGTTTCACAAACAAGGAAAGAAAAAAAGGGAAGAAATTTGTAGGGTAGGGCAGGTTTTTTTAGGCTAGTGAAGGAAGGTAGAGGTCCCCAAAACATGAAAAAAATTGATGGAGATGTAGTTAAAATGAAGGTAGGAAGGAAGTTGTTCTTTAATTTTTGTTTGATTTTGAGAGGAAGAAGGTTTTTTTTAGGAAGAGAAAGTTGGGATACTTTTGTACACATGACACTACCTTTTGCTTAAATACAAGAGAAGATTTTATAAAAACTTTATAGTGACTATCTTCAATTCTATTACTAGTACTCGTTTTCGTGCAAATAGTAATTGTAAAGTTTTTTTTGAAACGGAGGATTAATCCGACTAAACGGAAGAAAAGTTGTGGGAACGACTATGTTTTTGAATTTAGAGTTTGTTTATATGTACTGACCAAGTGCACATGAAGATATTTGAGTCATTTGGTGCCTAGCCAAAGTTGTAAGTTGTGTGTGTGTTTGTATAGCAATTTTTATTGCCAAATGCCAATTGCTTAGCTGCTGATTTGCTGGTCCAGGTTGTGTACTTCTTTTCCAGGTAGATGCTTATGCCAAAGTTTTACTGTGAAGATGATGAGTTGTGATACATGATGTAAAGTTCACCATCACCCCTCTATTCCGAGATGCTTTAATACTACGAAGTACTCCATCCGTCGAGTCCTCTAGATATAATTGTCGTATTAGTTCAAATTACATTATTAACAACACGATCCTTTCTTCATTAAGTTTTGGCTAATCAGGAAAATCTGAAATTTTTATAGTTGAATTTCTATGTGCTCGAGGGTATATTGCCTTTTTCTGTAGAATAGATGTGGTGGCTTATCCATGTGCCATGGCTGCTTAAAATATGAAATCTCAATAATTAGTTTCTAACTTAGGACAATATAACATTATACAGTACTAAAAAACATCATAGGACCTAGTTGGTCGCTTTTAATCCTTTATTTTTTTTTCTTTAATAAATCACATAAGGTCAGCAATTTTCTATTGCTATCTGATTGTGACATTTCTATATATTCTAAAATGGAAAGTAAATTTGTATATTTCCCTTTGATTTGATTATTACCCTAATCCGTTTTAACTATTGTTACATGCGATAATGTGATTCATAGTGTCTAAAGTGTGCTTTTTGCCGCTAAAACTTCAAGAATACATATAAGAAGCTAAAGTGCTCGTAAAAATATACAATCATTCATTATATTAACTGACATGAGTTTTTGTCGTAAATTTAATACCACTCGTATGAGTAAAGTGTAATTTGAATTATGTTTCCATCTTTTGTAATACTATAGCAAATAGGTTTATGAAGGTAAGACAAAAATTTCTATATACATATATTGAATTTTGTATCATCTTGTACTCTACTCCCTCCGTCCTCTAATATAAAGTCTATTTTGGTTTTAACGCGAAAATTAAGAAAGATGTAAATTTCTTAAAACTAATGATTAAAATTACATATGTGCATGTGGAGTTAGAGAGAGATAGAAAGAAAAAAAAATAGTTAAAAATTATTGAAAAAATAGAGAGAGAAATTGTTGGAAATTAATGTTAAAAGTACAAAAAAAGTAAAGGAATAAAGATGACAACTCAACAAAAAGAGGGTAATAATGTAAAAAAATACAACCTTTAAATAAAAAGAGGCGTTGTATTTTGGTTTACCCAAAAAAGAAATAAGGCTTTATATTAGGAGACGAATTACTTTCTAATTATATGGTAGACTAATTGGCACGTGTTGGCAGTCTACATGTTGGTTTAGTTGGCAATAAAATGTCATTTTCACTTTCATAAGTTCATGTGATTACTGAGTAGTGATAATCATCCATTTAACAGTAAACTATTGCAAAACGAAGTCTTTCATTTTACGCAATCTTGATATTCATCTAGAAAATTAAATACATCCTCGTATTAAAGACAGTTGCTTTCTGTAATTTAGGTCTATATATATTGCTTTCTGTAGGAAATTTGCTAATCCTTGTAATGCAAATCGGAGTGTTGTTAAGTGAGTGTGGTCACCTTGGTGCCGATGTGTGCAAGGAGCTAGTGAGAAAGAGATGTAGCACGCAATATTAGTGAGCCACGCAAGGTCGAGCTAGCAAGGGAGCTATAGCTCGCTGCTAGCAAAGGCTTGCAGCAGGTCCGAGCTATAGCTCGCATGCGAGAGAGCTAGAGCTCGCTACCCAGAAAGCCTACGGCAGGGCCGAGTGAGAGCTCTCATGCGAGAGAACTATAGCTCGCTGCCCAGAAAGCCTATGGCAGGGCCGAGCGAGAGCTCTCATGCGAGAGAATTATAGCTCGGCCGTGGGTTTGGGCTTTGCGTGGAAAGCTTGCCTTGCTTTGTTTCTTTTTCTTTCTTCTCCTATAAATACTACTCCTTAACTCTTATTTCATACATACGTTATTTTCGTTATTGAAAACCAAAATACACAAACACAAACCTAGCCTTTGAGATCTGAACAGTTCTCGAGTAATTCCACTTTTCGGGTACACGAGTTACGGAGAGAGTTGTGTTAACATTAGGGGGCGTGCGTCATCAGGAAACCTGTACCGGTGGCGGCGTATTTCGCTTCTAATGCAATAGATTCCATTTTGCGGCACAACTGTATATTTGAGATCATCAATCAAGTATTTTCTCGTTTATCTTCTTTATTTTATTATTGGAATCGACAAGTATTTTACCAACACTTTCCACTAAACAAAATTATATATAAAAAATCCAAACCCAAAGTGTTTTATCCAAAGATAAATACATAAATAATATATTTAATGCTTATATCCATTTTTTGAAAATGTGAATTAAATTGTTTAAACCTGTGAGGTGTAACAACCCTCCTTACCGAGTTTACAGAGTACCTTTTAACCACTAGATAAATGTGAGTCCGAAGTACGTAGTAATAATTATTGTAACTTACTGCCTCAAAAGATATGAAGTAATAAGTCAAAACTGATAAGTACAATATGTTATAAAATGAAAATTATAATCTTGCTTGTTTTTTTTATTATATTTTTAATGAAAATTAGGTTACAAAATGTGAACTGCTATTCGTCGTTCGCAAATTACAGGATGACGCTCCCATTTTTATGTGTATTGACTATTTTGCCCTTGATTGTTTTAATTCCATATAAGGCTCCACCATGACTCACTTTAGCTAGTAAAAAGTTTAATATTATTCCCGACCCCCCACTTGTCTTTAAAAAATCCCGACCCACCAAAAAACCCGAGACCACCATTGTACGGTAATTCCGACCAATTTTTAAAAAATCCCGAGTGTGGTAGTTGGGGCCCACTATTCACGATGAGCGACGACAACTTTAATACGCCGGAGCAGTCGTCGGAAGAATCTGTAAGTCGTAGTTTTTTAAATTTTTTTTTTTTGGACTTCCGCCCATTTTTTCCGGATCCCAGGGGGAGATCCGCCTAAAAAATCCGGAAGATCCTCCAAGGATCCGGAAATTCTAAGCGGATCCCCACATACGCCTGGAATTTCCGGATCCCAGAGAGATCTTCCGGATTTTTTAGGCGGATCTCCCCCCTGGGATCCGGAAAAAATGGGCGGAAGTCCAAAATTTCGTTTTTTTTTTTTTTTTTAATTCTTTCAAAATTCATAACATTATTTTTGCTGATTTTTTTTGTGAGTATTATTATATTATCTTAGTTATTATTATTATTAATTATGTTTATATTTCTAATGTTTTTGTTATTATTATTATTATTATTATTATTATTGTTATTGTTATTGTTATTGTTATTGTTATTGTTATTGTTATTGTTGTTGTTGTTGTTATTGTTATTGTTAGTACGATTATTATTATTATTATTATTATTATTATTATTATTATTGTTATTGTTGTTGTTGTTGTTAGTACGATTATTATTATTATTATTATTATTATTATTATTATTATTATTATTATTATTATTATTGTTATTGTTATTGTTGTTGTTGTTGTTAGTACGATTATTATTATTATTGTTATTGTTGTTGTTGTTAGTATGATTATTATCATTGTTATTATTATTATTATTATTATTATTATTATTATTATTATCGAATTTTTTATTTTTATTTTTATTATTATCATTTTTGTTATTATTCTTATTATTGGTATTATTATTATTATTATTATTATTATTAATATTGTTACTGTTGTTGTTAGCATGATTATTGTTATTGTAATTACTATCACTATTGTTGTTACTATTATTTATATTATTATTTTTATTATTATTATTAAGGTTGTTATTATTAGTATTATAGTTTTTGTTATTAATAAAAATATTAGTATTATTATTAAATTTATAATACTAATATTTGCCTCATTTGTTTGGTTTATTGTTAAAGGATTCGGAGGATGAAGAAGGCGGTGACGGGGTGGATTATAGTGCAAATTTCGTGACAGACAAGGTTTTTCGAACGTTTGATGAAGCAGTTAGTTGGGCGGATGCTGTTGCAATAAATCTGGGATTTATTTTGGTGAAATCGTCTTTCAACAGACAGAGGGATGGTCGACCATATCGATATTTAAGATGTGATCGGGGACGCAGGAGTAAGCCGAGAGATCTTGAGAACGCAATAAGGAAGGACACGAAAACCAAAGCCAATGGTTGTCCTTTCTACATCAAGATATCTTACAATTTTGTTGACGACTGTTGGTTTATCACGGCGAAAAATGATGTAACTGGGACCCACAACCATCCAATGATTGCGTATCCAGAGGGGCATCGTAAAATAAGCGGGTTAAGCCCGGAAGCGAAGCAGGTTGTGCGTAACATGACCAAGTCTAAGGTAGCACCGCGTAACATCATGGCGACTATTGCCGAGCAATTTCCTCAGGATCATCCAAACATCAGACACATCTACAACTGCCGAAATTACTTCAGAACCGAGATGTCAGATGGGAGAGGAGTTGTTCAGCAGTTTCTACATTTGGCTAGACAGAGTCAGTATGTGTACTGGGAATTGTCTGATGATAATGGCTTTTTACAGCACGCCTTCATGGCGCATCCAGCCATGATAGACATCCTACGGACGTACTCGTATGTGATCGGTATGGATTCCACATACAAGACCAACCGATACGGAATGCCGTTCTTTGAGATAGTTGGTGTGACACCGACAAATCAAAATTTCCTCGTCGGTTACGTCTTCATGCGCAACGAGTGCACGGCCAGCTATCGATGGGTTTTGCAGAGATTGAGAGACTTGATCGGGTTTGATAAGGAACCGTCGGTTTTCTTGACTGATCGTGAGCTGGGGCTAGTTGCGGCATTGAGGGAAGTGTTTCCAGGGACCTCACACTTACTTTGTCGATGGCATATTAACAAAGATGTTGAGGCTCGTGTCACTGATATGTTCAAAAGCAAAAAGGTTGATGCGACATTCAAGAACATGAGATGGAAACGTGTGATGAACGCTGCAACCGAGGAGGATTATGAGGCTGCTGTAGAGATGATGAAACTGAAATGGGCAAGTTATCCAAAGGTGATAGAGTATGTTGAGAGGACTTGGCTTTGTCATAAAACGAAGTTTGTGACATTTTGGACTAACCAAGTTCTTCATTTTGGCAACACAAGCACATGTAGAGTTGAGAGCCAGCATTCGGCCGTCAAGATGTGGTTTGATTCTTCGACAGGTTCGTTTTTTGGTTGTTGTATTTGATGTATGTATTTTGTTGTATTTATGTTTGTTATGAATAATAACGTTTTTTTGGTAATGTGCAGGTTCTTTGGATACCGTATGGGCCCGAGTTCATTGTCACATTGGTAATCAGATCATCGCTATTCGTAATGATTTGGAGGCATCTAGGTCGAAGATTGGTCAGAAGTACCGACAATTGCCATTGTCACGTATTAACGGCAAGGTGTCTCAGCATTGTTTGAAGATTCTCGACAAGGAGACGAAAAGGATGAGGGATCTGAGTTATCAGGAGTATGAGCGTTGTGGATGTGCATTGCGGGTGACCCATGGTTTGCCATGTGCTTGTCAGATACATGAGTCTTTAGCTCGAGAAACGGGCTTGTATAGTAGGCAAATTCACCAGTTCTGGAAGACTTTGGTTATCGACAATGGTAATGACGGAACAGCGTTCGGTAATGACGCGACCAAGGACGCCACACATTTTCGAAATCTGATGGACGAGGTACTTGGTAGTGACAATGCTGTTCTACGAAATGTGACACGCATCATTGAGGAAGAGCTACATCCGGATCATGATAACCTCCAAGAACCTCATATCAACCATAGGGTGCGTGGTCGACAGAGGAACAACGATACAAGACGTGATCGGTCTTATTTCGAACATGTGAATCGCCGAAACAGTCACTCTGGTCAACGACAAGGAGGTATGATTTTGGTATTGTGGGTGTAATCGTTTTTCATGAGTTCTTGTACTAATAACTGAACCCTACATATTTGCAGAAGATGAATCAGACATCACCCAAAGCCGGTATCGACACTTGATTCCCGGACCGATGTTGCCTTTCATCACATGGTGGAAAGATGTCATTGGCGATGGTAACTGCGACTTTCGTTGTGTCGCCGAGTTCTTCTTTGGTGATCAAGGCCGATGGTATGACGCTCGAGAAACAATCGCTAACAAGGTCCTTGGTTATCCATCCCTATACGAGAGGATTTACGGGCTTGGAAGGCTTCAGATAAATGTGGAGCGTATTCGATGGGGCGGTTGATGCTCGTCATTGGATGGTTTCAATTCAAGATTTATTTCCCATTGCTACTTGGTTCAACGAAATGGTTATTATTCTCGGTGTAGGCACCGTACCAACGTGCTTGTACCCATGTCTCACTATCTTGCCGTTGCGGGCTCGAAGAAGAGTCACGGCACCACAACGGGAGTTTGTCATCGCTACAGTTTATGCGTCACATTTTATATTGCTTGAACTTGCACCAGATTCCCCACTTCCCCCTATTGCAGGTTGGTGGACCGAGAACCACGAACCAAGTGTTGAAGGTTGGGATCACCGTTATGTAGCTAGAAGGAACATGTGGGATGCGTTAACTAGACAACAAACTTATTGATGTAACACGCATGTATGATGATTAGTTGTAGAAATGTAATTCGTAAAGAAATTAACTTAACAAAACAAAGTTTCAACAACAAAACAAAAACAGTTGTTCAGTCCTTAAAGTACATGACGAATAAATACAAAAAAACATCAAGTTTAAAACCCCATCATCGCCCTCCAGTCAGCTCGTAGCGCCTCAGCCATTACTCTTGTATCCTGCGACAAGCTCGGATACTCCTCCAGTGTCCTGTTGATGACCTCCATGGACCGACCCATCCACTGCAATTAAAAAACAACATATTAAATAAATCACACGTTTTTCTAATCATAATTACACATCATAAAAACACAAGTTCTTACGTAATCCGTGTTAGTTCTCTCTGGCAGTGTGCGACTCTCATGCGATGACGCAACTGGAGAAACACGAGGATGAGAAAATCGGTATAGCCACTGCATGTACCCAGGACCGACCGTAGGACCACCACCACCAAGTCTGCTCAGGGCACCTAACACCACACTGAAAGACATACCGGGAACAAACCGAGTCCACATCATAGATGTCATCTCTGACGGAAATTCAACTCGATACATCTTCAAGTTCGTTGGCCTCCTTGCCTTCTCAGGCCTGATGATGGCTGGGGGAATGCCCTGAACGTATCCAAGCTGTCGAACCACTAGATCAGGCATATATGGCTCAATGATGCTACGATACTGGATGCAGCCAATGAAAAGAGTAGCAGGCACGCGTCGTGCTGGATCAACTCCGTACGGTAGCCAGTTCACCTCATTGTCAGTCAGATGATCCAACCTAGTACGAAAAGCGAGGAGGCGCTCCATGCTCTTGTTGGGGCACCCCGATCCGACATCCCAGGCGGACGCACGCGGAACAGTAAGCTCTCTGGTCAAGGTCCCCTGCTGAGGCCTAAAACACGGGAAGTACTCGTAGATCCATGCCTGCAGAAGCGTAAGACAGCCGGCGATAGAATCAGCATCTTTTCGTGACGCTGTACCCAACTGCCGGTACATGTATGCTAGCACAGCGGAACCCCAGGAGTAGTCACTAATCTGACCGTCCTCAACAAACAGCTCGTTGAGGAAGGAAGGATGAGTACGGTTTCCACTCATTGTCCAGAAACAAACATCCACCAAGAACTAACCACAGGTACGCCCTGTAATGGAAACTGAAGGGCCTCTGCGCCTCCAAGGCCGACTCCACGATCCTATCAGTAAGCACCCCACTTCCCTGCCACACGGTTTTAGTACCGTACTTCTCATTCAGCTCTTCCGCAGTCATATCCAAGGTAATCGAGCACGCGTCACGTAAAACGTCCGTGCTAGGAGTAGTGGAAACCATGGAACCGTCGACACGGAGCCCTAGAATATGATACACGTCATGCAGCATGATCGTGATCTCCCCAAATGGCATGTGAAACGAGTTCGTGTCTGGCTGCCATCTCTCAACAAAAGCAGAAATCAGGGGCTAGTCAAATCGCCGGAACATGATCCCGGGTAAGTGAGATAGACCACTGCCATCAATCAGTTCCAGGTGCTCCTGCGGAAGACGAGCGCGCCAGTTTCCCAACTCAGTACACAACTGTGTCTTGCTCAAACACCGCAGAACATTTCTCTCCTGCCCACCCCATAGATATGCAGCCACGTGACCCCCAAAACTAGGAATGACAGTACCATCCTCAGGCCCACCTGGCATCGGCCCTCGAACCACCCACGACTCAGACGAGCTGGTAGAACCTTCACCTGGTTCACTACTACTACCATATCTCCCATGGTCACCCCTATACACAGCACGGTAATCCTGAGGGTCGTACTCTGAATCTCGACTAGCATGACTAGCTCGCTCAGCGTCGTCCTCTTCGTCAGATACAGGAACTCTACCCGACGAGTACATGGGGGCGCTCATGTCTGACTGATGCTCCCCCGACCAAGTACGAGCAGACCCGTACTGCTGCTCACGGTGAAACGGTGCCTCCGAAGGTCCTGCACCACCTAACTCCCTCCTCACTGATGCATTCAAACGTCTCGATCTTGCATGTCGAGCGCCCGAACCCTCAATCTGCATTAAATAAGTAGAAAATATAATTTCATTAATACTTACACACACAACTATGATATCAACCTTGAATCGTTAATATTCCAATTCCAAAATAATAGCAACAATACATAACAATTACAATAAATGAAAAAACAAATTACATAAACATAACAACATTACATAACAATAACAATAAATGAAAACAAAAAATAAAAAAACATAACAATAAATAAAAAAATAAACATCACAACAATGCATAACAATAACAATAAATGAAAAATAAAGTAAATAAACATAATAATAACAACAATACATAAAACAAAATAAAAAAAAACCAAACTAAATATAAATAGCTTCATCAAACAAAAGAAAAAAAAAGAATAAACAAACACAAACAAATTAAAAAAAATAACCATCACCAAACAAAAGGAAAAAAAAAACAAAACAAAATATAAATAGCTTCATCAAACAAAAGAAAAAAAAAGAATAAACAAACACAAACAAATTACAAAAAAAAAAAAAAAACTATCACCAAACAAAAGAAAAAAAAATAAAAAAAAAAACAAAAAACAAACAAAGACAAAATACAAAAAAAAAACAGAAAAAAAAACAGCTTCACCCAAAAAAAGAAAAAAAAAATCAATAAAAAAAACATAAAAAAAAAACAAAAAAAGTAAACACCTTCAGCAAACAAAAGAAAAGGAAAAAAAAGAAAAAAAAAACGGAAAACCTAGAACTTCCGCCTGAAATTTCCGGAAGTTCCCCAGACTTCCGGAAATTTCAGGCGGAAGTCTAGGTTTTTCAGAATTTTTTTTTCCTTTTAAATTACAGCAGCAAAGAACGTAATACCAAGCTGCTCGCCGCCGGAAATGCCGCCCCCACGACCACCGTACGTAAGCCTAATGCCTCTCCCGTCCGCCATACCCGGATTCTTGCTTTGATTGGTTTTCGTACGTTCTTCGTTTGATTTTCAAATTTTTGGTTTTTTTTGAAAATAAACTTCTGATTTTTTTTTTCCTCTGAATTTTTTTTTTTTAAAATTCTTGCCTTTTTTTTAGAGAGAGAAAGTTTGAGAGACAGAGTGTCGGGGTTGACAAATGACTTGTGAGTTTCGTAACTCGGTTTTCCAAGTATTTATATATGAGGGGCAAATTAGGAAATTCAATAAAAAAATGCGAGCGTCACCTTGTTATTTGTGAACGACGTTTAACAACACCCTATAAAATTGATAGAGTATAAAACATATTATTGGGCTCAAGCTTAAGTTTTTGATTAAGGTTATTATTTAACATGATATCAAGAGTCAGCATGACACAAAGGTCACGGGTTCGAATCTCATTCATCTTTTTTTTCAAAGTGGAATATTAACGTGATATAGTATAAAACATATCTCTGGACTTCAAGTATAAGATTAAGCTTTTAATTGAGTTTAAATATGTACGTACTATTTTTAATCATACTAAATTGGCGCCAAAAATATATATTGGTGGATGATAAATGAACTTGATGGGAATCTTTTAAACGTTTGAGTGTATTGCATGTCACGATGTCAAGCAATTTTCACACAAGGATTAATAAGGATTTTTTCCCAAATTAAGCTTTATACGGAAATTATTTACGAAATTGGTCTCGTGGCAAAAGTATTTCCCAAACTAAGCTTCTGAGGTGAAACGCTGTCTCGGACAGCGTTTTACACTCAGTTTTTTTTTAAAAAAAAAATTCAAGACATAAAACGCTGCCTCAGGCAGCGTTTTATGGTAGTTTGACTTTTTTCATAAACTTCGTATTCCATACCTGTTTTATACAAATAAACGCTGCCTATCTTTAAATGAAACGCTGCCTCAGGCAGCATTTTTATCTGTACATTAAACGTTGCCTCAGGCAGCGTTTCTTGCGGGAATTATAACGAATTCCAGGCCTTTTTTTCTCAATCTCTTTCCTCTCTTTCACGCAATTTACACTCTCTCTCTCACTAACTCTCATTGTCAGCAACAAAGAACCACAGCCGTTGCCAACGCCTCCCCTGCTGTGCCGCCGCCAAAGTGAACGGAAGTTGTTGCCGGCATTGTCTCACTCACTCTTTAAATCCGGGTAAACCCTAAATTTGTAGTACATTGTTGAATTTTACATTGAATAGTTGGTAGTAGATAGTTGTTGTATGTTGTAGCAAATTGTGATGTAAATTGTATTAATTTGTTGCTAATTAGTAATGAAATGTGATAAATTGTTGATAATTATTGATGATAATGTGGTACATTGTTAAGGAAAAATATAGACGAAATTGTTGATTAAATTGTCGACGAAATTGTTGATGAAATTGTCAATGATAATGTGGTTTGTTTTTGATGAAATTGTTGATGGTAATGTGGTCTATTATTGTGAAAAAAATGATAAAATTGTTGATGGTAATGCGGTATTAGTATGTTGATAGTTGTATGCGGTACTAAGAGTTTATGAAATTGGTGATGAAAATGTTGATAATGAGAATAGACTTGTTTCATTGTTGTCATATTAGCTACACATGTAGGTTCTCGAAATTTGATATAACTTTCCATTATCGAAGCTATGTATGTTATGTATTGTTAAATTAGGGTTTTTTGACGTTGTTTTAGAATTCGATTATCCTTAAATGTGTTTTGGTTGGTATGTAGAATATGGCTTCACAAAATGTAGTGTTGTTATGCCGGTGGGGAGGTGAAATTATGTGCGATGGATCAAATGTTGAGTACAGTGGAGGGAATATGGAACTTATAACACTTGAACCGAGCATGACTGTGAATGATCTGATGAATGAGGTTCACAGTAGTATCGGCTCAAACCCAATGAATGCTGAACTGAACCTTAAAATGAGGTGTGAGACTGGGCATGGGGTTCAAGTGTTACCTGTCTCCACAAACAAACATTTAAAAGCTTTGAGAATCATTGTTACAATGAAGGGTGTTCCCAATGAGATATATGTAGAAACAGTGCCTATATGTACCCAACAAAGTACTTGGGCAGAACAACATCCTACATATGTCTCCGATTACAACACCGCGTCCTTCCAAGGCCCTTCAAACCACATTCCATCGAATGAATATGGGATGGGAACTTTCAGTCGCTTGCTGCATGATGATCAATCTCAGATGCCGTTTAGTCCTCATATAGCATCACCTGCACATGCGGGGGGTTGTGTGACAATGTTCGGCCAATCCGGTCCTTCAACATCAAACACCGTGGCTCCGTCACCAATGCGAGATGAGGTTCAAGAATCACCGTCTCAAGAAGACCCAAGTCATTTTGATAATATTGTGAAAAACGAATTGTCGGTGTACGATGTGTATGCGGATACAGATGATGAGGATGATAATGGGGAGGAGTATGATAGGCTTGATGACATGGATCTTGAAGATGGGCAGATGGAAATTGATGAGCCCTTGGTTAGAACTGCAGTACCCTGGTTTAGTCAGATAAATGAGAATTATGAATTGATGAGTATTGGGCCAATTCAGGGAGTCATACATCATTTGTTCCAGGGGGAGAATTCGAGAAGGGGATGTACTTTGACAGTAAGAAAACGCTTCAAGAAATGGTGAAGATGTATTATATACAGAGAAATCAATTCTACACCACAGTGACCTCAAATGAGAGTGTCCTTCATCTGCGTTGCAAGAAGAAATGTGGATGGTCTCTAAGGGGTACCAGGACAAGTGAGCACTCGCGTGGCTTCACCATAGTCACATACAAAGGCCCGCATCGGGAGAATTGTGTTACCGAATTACTATCTAATGATCACCCACACTTGGATTCGTCCATAATATCTGAGTTTGTGAAGTCCTTTGTGCAGAAAGATCCGACTCTAAAAGTTGAATTCATTCAGGAACTCATCTCCAAGCAATTCCATTTTGAAGTTCCGTATAAAAGAGCATGGTATGCCAAGGACAAAGCCATCACTCAAATTTTTGGTGATTGGGAGAGTTCTTACAGCAGACTTCCTCAGTTCATGCAAGCACTGCAACAGTCAAACCAGGGAACCGTAGTCATATGGAAACACAAAGCTCTAGTGGAGGGTAGGTATACCAGCAACATGGAAGTA